ATAAAGTTATTTTTATCGATTTTAAATTAATTTGAAAATTGCGTATCCAGACCCTTTCTAAGATTGGGTAATATTTCGATAGTACCATATAGATTTTCTTTCTCAACAGATACAAAACCTTTTGGGGTAAACATTGCTCCTGTATATGAGTGACTTTTTAAAATTTGATTTTAAATTTAATCTCGCGTAATCTATTTCTGGTATCATGGTGTACCTTGTTTCCGAGCCGGAGAAACTAAAAGGAAGCTAATTCAACAACTACGACAAAGTAAAGAAATAATTCAAGAAAATGAAGAACAAAGAACAATGCCACTTAATCAGTATAAGGAAATTCGAGGGAACATGAGAGCTGATGACATCAATGCCTGTGAGAAGAACATTGTAGAAATGACCAACAGAATAGAAGAATTAGAAGAAAATTTAGCTAAAGCAAAAAAAGGTCAAAAGTATAACTGGAAACACATGATTACAAGATAAAGTGGTGCAGAAAGAGGAGCGAATAGCCATTCTAGAGAAACAGTATCCTCAAGAAGGAGAACTACAGCACAAAGAAGCAAGAACAAACGATTGCAGCTATTCGAGAGAAGTTAGTACCAGTCGAACAGAAGTTATCTGAACATTTTGAATTATTATTATTATAACTACTCGCGTTAAATTTTTCATATTTATATTAATTTTCGTCAAAATAAATTCCCGACCTAGGACACCCCTTTGTTTATCTTGAAATGGACTCGTCCATCAGTTTGACGTTTAGTTTTTTTTAAATGGCGGAAAATTCTCATTTTAAGGAAATTAAGAAAACACCCCTTTTCATGGCGACAAAAAGGGTTCCAACACATGTTGGTAAAAAGTTTAGAAAGTTTAGACCCCTCACGGACGTGCCCGCGCCCGCGCCAAGTTCACTTCACTGATGACGTCATCCATGCATGATTTAAGAGTTTCTTGCAAATTTAAGGGTGAAGGAGTGTAGTAACCGAATTTTAACCGTATGAATATCTCCTCAACTTTTTACGGATTACTTGATTCCGTTGAGAAACTTGAGTTACCTCAAAACCGGCCGTGACCTTCAGATGCGTTTTATTATATTTATATTGAATTTATTTTAAAAAAAGGCAATTCTCTGAATTACTAAAAATAAATGGAACGTACAGATTAAAGACTAATTTGTACCCGTATTCGATGTGTCACGATGGATTATTCGCATCGAACTGTCTCCAATCATTTAAAAATACATATATATCATTTTTAGGCAATATCAATGTTCGAATCTACAAAAAAGTCCCATCTTCACCAAACTTTTACATTTCACTTTAACTTGTAGTGTAACGTCGCTTTTAGCAAAAAAAAACAGAATTTGAACATTTCTGAAAAAATTGACTTTTTCATATCGATTCTGATTTAGTGCACTTGCAACTGTACTGTCAGGGTGGTAAGCATATGTAAAAAAGTACGGCAAAACCGTGCATTGCTTCATAAGAAATGGAGACAGTTTTGAAAGCTCTATTGCTAAATGTATAAGTGACATCGAGAAAGCGAAGATTTTTTAGTTTAATCTAGAAAAAAGCACACTTATGGATCACAAGAAGTATACAAGACCGAACTTTGACCAGTTCAAGGTCGCTCGCCCCCTGGTGGTAACCTTGAAAAGCAGATCAAGGTAAGACGGTCACGTGCCACCTGGGAAGGTAGGTCAAGTTAAAGCCCAAAGGGAAAGCTTTAGTTATCATATTTCATTTTTTGGGGTGTCAAATTAATTTTCAAAACAATGTCAACAGCGACATTTCGTGCAGTGTCAAATTACATGTTCAAGCTGATAATGCCAATGGCCTCAATTGTTGTGGTGTCAAATTACATTTTTATGGTCAAATATTGGTCAAATTCAAATTTTGTGGTGTCAAACTTTAACTTCAAGGTTATCCAAAGACAACGGCTCCATTTTTATGCGGTGTCGAGTTACATTTTCAAGGTCATCCAAGGTCAATGAACCCATTCTTATGGTGTCAAATTATACTTTCAAGGTCATGCATGGTCAATGATCCCAGTTCTGGCGCTGACCAATTACATTTTCATGGTCATTGAAAGTAAATGACCTCTTTTTATGTGGTTCGTGTTTAATTACATGCTCAAGATTATCCAAGGTCAATGAACCTTTTTATTAAATTGCATTTACAGGGTCATAAAAACTCGATGGCCTTATTTTTATGTGGCGTATAATTACATCCTCTATATCTTGTATCACATTTGCACTCGCTAATTTTTGATCACCCATCTCCAAAATATGAAAAAATGTCATTTACTGACAGGTGGGGTTGGGGGAAGGGGCGTGTATGTGCCACCTAGTCTATACTTACTTGTATAGGACCGTTGACACATTGCTCATCTTCGCCTCGCACATTAAAACACACACGGCGTTTCCGAATAAACGTCAAACATGAAAAAAGTGTCATTTATTGTCAGGTGGGGAACAGGAGAGGGGGGGGGGCGTTGGTTATGGAGTCAAGGAGTGCGAATACGAAACCATCTTTAAAAAACTCATCGTTCTAGCCCTCAACATTTTCCAATAAAAGCCAAACTGTGAAAGAAGTTACATTTATTGGCAGGTGGTAAGGGAGGTGGGGGTGTTAGTTGTGGTGTCGGAGTGTACGAATGCTAACCCTCGGCGTTTGCGAATAAACACCAAAACAACGAAAAAGTGTCGTTTAGAGGTGCAGGAGTGGTTTCTGGAGGGATGCGAGAATATGCCAAAAAGACGGTCACAGGAAAAACGTCGGCAACTTCCCCTCCCCGATGCAACTCGAGTGCCGTTAATACTTTTTACCGTCGATTATTCTATAACTTCGTATTTCGGCCGATTTCCGTTCGAAAATTCCCCCCTCCCCCTTCATCAGAGAGGGGCAGATGGTACGCCGCCCACCCGGGGACGTTTTGGGCCCCACTTTGCCAATTGTGATTTTTCCTAGGTGGTGTCGTTTTCACGCCTTTAAGACGGTGAGATGTCGAAAAGCAAACCACACCCCCCTCCCTCCCCCTCAAACAACCCATAGACCGGGTGGAGTCCCGTTAAGGGCTCTTAAGGGGGAAAGCAGTTCAAAAAGTGTCCATCGCTTGCTCTTATGGCTCCTGCGACCCCGACGATTAAAGGGCCCGACCTTCCTACCCCCAAGCCGCGATCGGGATTCTTCGATTTGAACCGTCCACCCTCCGCGAACTTTTTTTAGTCGACGTTAAGTCAAGACTGTCCGAGTTTTCTGCTTCGTCGGCCATTTATAGAGGCCCAGCACAAAATCTGAAACGGAACCTCGCGAAGTGGTTGAGTTCGCCACACATCTTCCTCTCTTTAGTAAATATGGCAAGTGCACGAATGCGTCCCTTTTCCTTTGTTAGTACATATACGCCCTTCCGACCGCAACTCGGGTGCAACTTCGATTCGACTGGATTTGATTTCTACGCAACTTCAAAATGTACTGAGACGCCTATTTGGATTCGATTCGAACTCGGTTTAGGTTTGGCAGAAATCCAACTTTTAGTCGACTATGACCAGATTTTGACGATACTTGGAAGTACGTAGGTTCAATTTGGATGCGACTTATACTCTCCTTCGACTCGACTTTGGCTCAAATTTGATCCCACTTGTATGCCGTTTTTTTCCACCTCCCTTCTCTCTCCTTACCTTTTCGTACTAACGATTGGTTCCGCCGCCCACCAGTTCAGTTCCCCTGCCTCTACCTCTGCCCCTCTGTAGTTTGGAAATTTTCGGTTTCTAAAGTCATTTTTATACCGAGTTTTTCTTCATTGTTGTCTCCCTCTCCACTTTCCACTAAGCTCCTCTCCCTACTCTATTCGTTCTTCATTTCTCTTTCCTTCTTCTTGGTAACTATCTCTCCCCCCAAATATTTTAAACTCTATTCTACATATCTCCCTCTCTTCTCCTCTTGGGTTTCTTTCCAAAATTTCTGAAGCATACTATTCCTTTTCATTTCTCTCACCCCCCGCGATTTCGTTTTTATCATTTTACATCCCTTCGCTGTCCCTTCCCCCTCGCCTTCTTTCTGTCAGCTGTTCTTTTCCTCTTTCTTCATATTTCCCTCCTATTCTTTTCAAACGCACCATTTGCCCGTGCTATTTCTTTTTCCTTCTTTCTTTATTTCTCTTCGGTTCTCCCTTCCTCTTCATTTTACCTCTATTTTCCTACCCTTATTGGCCTTCTTTACTTGACCACATTTTCTCCCTACCAGTTGCTTACCTCTACTTCCACCCCTCCCCCTCTCTAGTTTATAAGCGTCCTAAGGCTTTTGAATCCCTCCCACTACGCTCTGTTCCTCTTTGTTTCTCCCTTTCCACCTTCCACTAACCTCCCACGTTACTCAACTTCGATTCGACTTGAACTCCTTCTCCTCTTTGGATTCGATTCGGGTTCATTTAACACTGGACATGGGGCCTCGAACTCAACCTGAATGAACTTAACTTAGACTCACCTTAGATTTGACTTAAATTCAACTTGGACTCTAATTGGATCAGACTTGAAAATGGTCTACTCAACTTAAATATGACACCGTTTGGACACAATTTGGACGCCACTTGGGTGGTTATGTACAGGGTGTTGTGATGTTTCACAATGTATAAGGTGGAAAATGTTGTCCTCCGCGTTGGTACGGTAATGGTGATGATTATACTTACTGACTCGTGGACTCGCAATTGCTCCGTAAGTTATAACTCGTTGTATAAGACTTACCTTTAAATACTTGTTATGTGGTTAGATACAGTAAATAATGTATTATTGATACATTCAACACTTACTTTTGGTAGATTGATGACAAGAAAACTTGGGAATTGGAAATTATTCTCAAATAAAGCGCCAAATTTAAATAACACATCAAAATGAAAATCGATACGTTACCTAAATTATATCTTGAAAGCAATTAACTTCGTCAAATGCAAGTAATACATCGTTTGCTTTATTTATGATGCAAACGTTATAGGTTACACTCGTTTTGTTTTAGTGCAGGGAAAGAATCATGTCTATGCATGATATGTTCCGAAACGAGAGAAATATGGAAAAAGTCAGGAGCGTGGTTCTTCAAAAGTTTGCCCAAATACACATTGCCAAATCAGTCGTACGGTACAAATAAGTCCTCGCTTCGTAATTCAAGGAGATACAAAAACTACGACGACGACAGCAGCTCGGACGAGGACGCCCGGTTGTGGGAAAGGATTCAGAGCAATCGACGAGGTTCCAACACCGAGAGTATGCACGGTTAGTATAGGTCACTGAATGGCGCGCGCTAACTTAAATTTGTAGATGCGGCCGAAGTTCTCTCCCAGTCCTTGCCAAAATCGTTCAGTAGACAGACCAGTGCGATTGACACGCAGGCATTTAAAGAAGACCATCCTTTACGCGAACACCTCAGCACACTCACACTCGACGAGACCAAAGCTTGGGAAGACCCGGCCTGCGAGAACAGCGGAAATAGCTCGCAGGCCTCAAAAGAATCGTTCGCTTCAGAACTCAACTGGGCCGACTCCCGAACTGAGGGAAAAAGATCGTCCAGCATCTGCAGCATTAGTAGCAGTATTTTTAAGGTAAATTCGACATTGAAATTTGCAACTAATTGCGCCAATTTTAGACTTCGAACGAAGAGCGAAAGGTCGACTCGTCGGTGGGAACTATGGAACTTGCGCTTACTTACGATCCCGTCAACTTGACGTTACACTGCTCGGTGTACCGCGCCAAAAATCTGATAGCTATGGACATCAACGGACTCGCCGATCCCTTTTGTAAACTCAACATCCTTCCCGACGCTAAAACGTACACGAGACTACGAACGAAAACGGTGCACAAATCTAGAAATCCGGAGTTCAACGAGAACCTGACCTTCTACGAGATCAACGAGAAGGATTTGAGCACGAAGTCTCTCCACGTTTTGGTACTGGACGACGACAAGTATGGGCATGATTACATGGGGGAGGCAAACATTCCGCTTGCGAAACTTCGCGTCCAAAATACCGTATACGTACGTTGAGGTTTGGGGGAAGCAACTGTGCTGAGTGGTTTTTTTTGCAGCTGTGCGTCCCGTTGGAGATGCTCAGAGCCGAGCAAAAGGGACCTCCGCTGTCGCCCGATCTAAATCAATGGTTGGACGATTTGTGGTTACGTGGACAGATACTCCTCTCGCTCTGCTACAGCACGAAAAAGCGTGCGTTACTCGTCGGGGTCGTCAAGTGCACAAACCTACTTCCGATGGACAATAACGGCTATTCGGACCCTTTCGTCAAATTGTAAGCGCACCGCCTCGCGTGCGAAGTACAAACTCTCACTTTTTCCAGACATTTAAAGCCAGACCCGTACCACAAGAAGCACAAGACGACGATCAAGTGGAAGAATTTGAATCCGATATTCAACGAGGAGTTCGCCTTTGAGACCCGATTAACCGAGCTGTCGACGCAAAGTCTGCACATAACCGTCTGGGATAAGGACTACGGCAAGAGCAACGATTACCTGGGCGGATTGGTTTTGGGCGGCTTGGGATCGAAGGGTCAGCGCCTGAAGCACTGGCTCGACATGATCCACTATCCCGACCATCGTCACGAGTCCTGGCATAATTTAACCGAGGATACGACGCTGCTCGATTAAACCGTAGCGGAAGACCGGTGCGACGCCTATTTTTCTAACTTTAGTTAGTTGTGAGTCAATTTGATAAGATTTACACGAATAAATAAAGAGTTCTTTGAATCTTCCACTTTAGGTATATGCAGTACTAAAAGATTATTATTATAGTAGTTAAAACGCGAACTCAATTAGTACGACAGACCTTGTGCATTCGATAGTCTCCACCTCGTCTCCGCGATTTATCGCGTTTGCCCGCATTTTTATCGCTCAGGTTGCGCCGATGTTATCGCCCGCTGTATGTACCTCCGTAGCGGTATTCGCGATTCAGATTAACACTAGAGGCGCTGATGTCATTTAAAAATGGCGAGTAGTTGTGGGTGCGGTTTGTAAACATAGGGTTATTCTAGCAGGTTTTTAAGTGGAATTCTACTAATTTTAAAGTGAATTGAATTTATTCTGCCGTTTTTGAGACTTGAAAATATAGCACCTTAATCCTATCCTACCTGAAAGGCCATTTTGCTTGAGAACTCGAGGCTGATTCCAATTAGCTTGAACTTGCAATAAACTTAATTTTCTAATTACCAATAGAGATCACAATTTCTAGCGCACTCGCAACTCGCCCATATTCCCTTGCGTTGATTTTGCTTTAAAACAGCCTTACTTACACGGCGTGCACAATTACACTGACCACAATTTAAACACTAGGTATTCCTCCATGTGTCGACTTTTAATACATGGCGATTTACAGTTTATTTACTATTTCTGGTATACCTATAATCGCGCAGATTGCACGTTACATGCTTGAATGTGAATATGCCGTTTTTAAGCTATGTTATTATGTGGGCTGCAAAATTGCACGATTCACATTTAAAATTCTCGAATTAACGTGATATAAATAATGGGACTGTTTTGCAAGTGTATTTACTTTTACACAGCCTTAAAAACTACAATATTGTTTACTTTTGACCATTGTAAATAAACAAAATGGCGGTCTTAACTCACCAATAATAATAAATAAAGAGTCTCTATTGAGCTGAATGGCGAATGTCGTCGCAGCATATCGCCACAGTATGAACGCCGCCTTAGTTTGAGTCAATCGTCTACCCGAATGTGTCTCACGTCCCAACATCCCAAAATCCGCATAGTTTGACACAACGTAAAAGTGCACCCAGTCTAAACCTCGAGTCTAAACCGACTTCTACCGAGATTTAAAAGCGTCTGCCCGTAGACCATCAACCGATATATAAGCCTCTCTCTATTAAAATATTGGAAATAATTAACGGTGCAAGTGCCATCTGTTAAACTGTGAGAGCCATTAACATTGCATTTGTCAATTTCCACACGGTTCAGATCCAGGGTGTGTTTGGTTGAAATTACAGATACGGTCTGTACCAGTACTACAGATCAGTGCTAATTGACAATTGCGTCGTAAAAACAAGTGAGTCTGAGGGGAGGTAAATTGAAAAATTAGCTGTGGCTAGCTTATATACCACCGGCACACCTCGGATGCGCGATTCTACCCAAACGCTTTACGGCTCTTTCCTTTATGTCTTAAGAGTATGATGTGTACCAAATTTGGTTCCATATAAGCCGTTTAGCTGGAAATGAGAATACCGCTTGACATTCGGCAATACAACGCGCAAGAACTCTCAGAAAGAAATTGCATGGTGAAAGCATTGCATTGTATTTGACATGGTGCAATTCTATTTCAATTGCATGTCTGCCACTAACAGAAGAATAACATAGATTTGTTAACAAAGCTCCGATCCTATAAAAGTTGGATGCAAGTCTCATGCAGCAATTGATCAGCTGGCTTTGAAATGTGCATGCCTTTCGCAATTTCTCTTGCAACTTGCATGCAGTTGCAACTTTAATGAAACCATGCAAGATGATCAGATGTAATAAAATAGCCCATTACGTATTGAAGCGAGGTGAGGCGGCGCGTAAGTAGTGCTACTTTATACCTGACAAATGTTCTTGCAATATCGTGGCATAAAATAAATCTCCGGCGGCTGCACCTTGCAATTGCCATTGGTGATTTAAGACCTCCATTTTGTTTATTTACAAAGACCAAAAGATATGAATATGACTGTAAAAGTACCGGGTGACTCAATAAGACCGTTCCTCGGCCATATCTCGGGAACCGTTCATCGTTTGACTTAGGGGTAAAAAAAATGATTGGGTAAATCGGTTATGAAGAATCGGTGGAAAATATTTTCAAGTTCCAAAAATGACCACATTTCACATTTTTAAAGACAACCAGTTTATCTATCATTTTCGTAAAAACAAAAATTCAATTATTTCAAAAACAAAGATGGCGTGGGGAGTTCAATTGTTTTTGCAATAACCTGCTATAACTTCTTAACCGTTTGACCGATTTTAACAAATTTGGTATCGTTGAAAAGAGGAAAGAGCATTCCTGAGCTAGCGTCCTATTTGACCGGACCATTTTCGCAAAGTTCATCTTTCTACTTTAGATTTATGATCCATAACCTATCAACGATAGGGGCGTCAGCTGGTTCAAAAGCGTGGCTTAAGATGGCGAAAGTTCTAGTCAACAAGAATCATATAGTTAATTTAGTTGAATTCGTCTCCGCCAGGGGGCTAGTTTTGACACTATGATCCAAAATCCTAAAAAATCAAGAAAATCAAACGGAATGATATGACTTTTTCTTTATGAAAAAGTAGCCAAATAACACCCAAAGAGGTCAGTGAAAACCGTTTTTCAAAATCTCGTTCCTAAACTCAAATATTGGGAAAATGAGATTAATTAATTAATTAAAATACTTAAATTGTATCTTAAATTTACTTTTGACGTATTTCCGGTATTTGTCGATGGCGCGAAAGAAAAGTACCCTACACTTTTGGTAGGCCTTGGAAAATTAAACAAAATGAAACACGATGCATTATAGTAAATAATAACAGCCGTAATTTGTAAATCATTCTGCTGTGTTTACATACAGAAAGCGCACTTTTTGGAATTTGTAATTTTTCTAAATGCCCATTGCTAACCTAGAAGCATTTAATATGCTGGCGGCGATGGTTCGTTGTCGATTCGAATAACGCAAATAGAAGGAGCAGCCATGGTCGCATTTTGAAAATACTCAAAATATATTGCCAGCATATTAAATGCTTCTGAATGATAAATTATGATCTCTATTTGTAATTAGAAAATTAAGTTTCTAATGTGTTCAAGCCGTTCAATTTACTTTAAGACAGCCTCGAGTTCTTAAGAAAAAGGCCTGCTTTACATGCCTTCCGAAGTCAGAAGATCTTCTGTGCGACCGCTACCACGTATACACGCCATTTGTAAATTACAGTATAGATTATCTACAATCACAGTCCACAGCACTATCGTAAAAAGATAAAAAACAACCGCACGAATGAAATAATCACCCTGTATAAATATCCCGATATAGAGCTAATGGCCTCAATACAGTAGAACTACTACCAAAAACCTATGGTACGAATGAACTACTGTGAGAAATCAATCTGTAACCCCAACGAAATAATTTCATTGCTTAATTTAATTAATTTCCATTAATAATTGCCACAATTTCAGTGTTAGTTTCACGACCATAAATTTGGTAGCTAATGAACAAATTTTCCAGTTGTCCTGCGTATTACAATAAATTATGAGCAAAGCATTTGGTGACTCCTTTGCAATCTTCGAAGGTAAAAACAAATTTTGGGAACAATGGGGCAGATAAGCAGGTACCCAAATTCTGAGAAAGGGTGAAGCGTACAGGATGCGACTCATCTTTGGCGCAATAAAGTCTTTTGTTAGGAGCAAGATGGAAAATTGCATAGACTGGCAGACAAATTCAACTAAATACAAGATATGTAGAAATTAGCGAATCGTAACTCATTCAACGCACATAGATTCTAAACCGAAGGGTTTTGATTAGCACAATCTCGCCCCCGCAAGATAGATAACTCGATCCTAATTTCGGGGTTTCGAGCCTACAGTTAAAAGTCGAAGATAATCACGGAATTAGGTGTCGTAGCTCAAATGATCAAGCATTACACCAAAAACGTAAACAATTACAAACAATAAAGGATAACGGTATCAAACATGTGATTCTGCATTAAGGTTAAATCAAGTCAATTTCAAAAACAAAGATTGAAACTCACAAAAATATAAAATGCTGCATACAAAACACAAATACGATGTAAAGAAAAGCAAAGATTACTACCTGCATTAAATAACATCAAACTACCACGATTGATTCTTTTTCAAGATCGCCATTAAAAACAAGATGCCAAACGAAACCAACATTCGTGCTCTCCAGATGGCAGAGGTAGCTTTTCCCCTCCTAAGAATTGCGTAGTTGCCAACTCTCAAACTTGTGTGCTTCGCCGTAAGTTATATACAGTATATACATGGTGGAACCTCTCAAACTGCTTTCTTTTTTAACTCGACACAACTTTTTCCATAATTGGAACACACATTGAACTTCTCGCACAACTTTGGCTAACTTGTTTCTAACACACTTATTATTTAAAAACTGCGTCTTCGACAAAACAAATAGGGCTATAGAAAGTCAATTCTATATTGACCTATATGTATATCACGTGTTATCTTACTAATTTAGTGAGACAGAGGCGGTTTATTTTATTTATATGGCGTCTGGATTTTAGGGTTAGTGGAATGGAACCAAAAATAGACAATGGCATTTACACCTTAATAGTGCTATCAGACAGCAACTCGCGCAAGAAATCTTGCTCGAGTATTCCCGCCTTTAGAAGTACTCGCGAAGCGCTTCGTCTGGTGAACGCACCCAATGAAACTTGGGATGTCTCATTTTCAAAGTTCAAACAAGCACCGATAGTGTATCACCGATCAAACGACAAGTACCGTTGGTGTATCTAGAGACACCGCTAGAAAAAACGTTACGCCATGATCACTGTGGTTACTGTTCAACAATGTTAAATTTCCATGTCGGCAATATAAAACAATGTTAATGGTGTGGTGAATTAGCTTCATTTTTTTATTTGACGTCACTTTCCTTTCTGTACCCATTGAGTTCAGTTCAATTTGTTCTAATTTTGTGTAAGATTTGAGCCATTGTCCATTTTCAAAAAGGTAATGTACCTACTCAGTTTTAATTGAAATTACTTATTGTCACAGAATAAGACCTTCACAGAACAGAAACATAAATGGCGCTAAATTGTCACTGATTACAGCGTTTCCCGTGGTTGTACGGAGAACTATTTATCGCAGACTCAAATATTTTTTTGCAAAACCTGTAATTTTGCTCGTTACAGGAAATATTTTTACCGTCAATTTTATACGTACACATGGTTTTACACATGTCAATTTTGACTTTTGAAAGATTTAAAATAGGAACAAGTTATGTGACCGTAAAAAGTGTTGTGTGGCGAATTGTAACGATAAAATATCAAAAAGGCATCGTTTCCCATATTTTGAAACAGATTGTTTTGTGCTCGAAACGCGAAGAGGGTTGAAATGTGCTGTTATTTCTCTCCTATTTATGCAAGGTATTGAATTTATAAATTACCAACGGTATAGGCGCAAAAGGGTGTAGACCAGGGTGTAGACTTCAGTTTTATATTTATATAGACGTAGATACTTATATTGTAATTCCTTTTAGATAATGAATAAAAAATACGTTTTAGATAATTCAACAACTTCCACCCTCGCTTCTCAAGTAACAAGTAAGCACCAGGATCAAGTTAAGTAACATTTGTTGTCAAAAACTTGTGTGACAATTTGCTGAAACGGTTTTATTACCTCTTGGAACAAAAAATTTAGTTTTAAAGATATTTTTTAACAAAAATATGTAGTCCAAACAGCAATTAAAACCAAATATTTCGTACGACAAATCGTTATGTAAGGATCTTTCTGCATAGTGTTAACATCTACAAAGCGTAAGTTCCACTCACTTCTGAGTTTTATATGTAATTTGTAAACATGTAATTTAAGTTCTCTGATGTGTTAAATAATGTAATGTGATTGTATCTAAATACACTTTTTTGCGCGATCGGTCATTTCTGACTATTTACCATGGGTGTTTCCATGACAGTACGTAGAATTTACCAGTTGCTATGATTACGACGACGCCAAAATTACTTACCGATCTAAAAACAGAACAGCAAAAATACTTACCGACGCCTTTTAAAAAATCAACAGTCTTACATTACAGTCATTTAATCTTTAATTATTGTTAGGTACATTAATCGTACAATTTGTGCTGTTGTTTCCTATAGCAAGACGCTCATAAAGTCATAAAGGATGTGCAAAGCTAGTAAACTACATCAGACACATGCACATTTTTATGGAATTATTAATTTCAATTTTGACATTTAAACTGGTTGCCTAGTGATGTACACCATGCCACTTTGATCATTTCGATTTATTCTGCTCGTTCATTTCTTAGTGCATAGTTATATTGGTTGGATAATTTTAATTTCGATCGCGCAAAAAATGTTATAAGCACGTCGAACGTTAAGGGTTACCGTTCTCAGACAATAATTGGAGTCGTCGCTTCGCTCCTCCTCCAAACAATTGTCTTCGAACGGTAAAAATCCCTTACCGTTCTCCATACTTAATATACTATAATTTAACAACTGTGTATTCTTTATCGATATTTATGAATTGGATCGAATTGGGGAAATTACTTCATGGCTGGTCACCAGATGGCGCTGCTCTGATTTTGATGCTTTAGTTCACAGTACACCCACCAGGGTCCGCCAAAATACCATACAAATTTGTAACATTGCTGTTTCTATTCTGAGAAGGCCGTATTCTGTGCATTTGTTGTCAAAAACTTGTGTGACAATTTGCTGAAACGGTTTTATTACCTCTTGGAACAAAAAATTTAGTTCTAAAGATATTTTTTAACAAAAATATGTAGTCCAAACAGCATTAAAACCAAATATTTCGTACGACAAATCGTTATGTAAGGATCTTTCTTCAAAGTGTTAACATCTACAAACCGTAAGTTCCACTCACTTCTGAGTTTTATAATATGTAATTTGTAAATATGTAATTTAAGTTCTCTGTGTTAAATAATGTAATGTGATTGTATCTAAATACAATTTAATTTAACAACTGTGTATTCTTTATCGATATTTATGATTTATATCGAATTTGGGAAATTACTTCATGACTTTAGAAGCTGGTCACCAGATGGCGCTACTCTGATTTCGATGCTTTAGTTCACAGTACACCCACCAGGCTCCGCCAAAATACCATACAAATTACAGTTAATTATTAATTACCGTTACCGGACCCCTTTTGAGGGCCCGGCTTGTTGGTCTCCTCTGACGAGGAGCCCAGGAAGGTTCTGTCTGAAAGTTCCATACAATTCCCACGAGTAGTGCGGAATGCGGTCTCACCTGGGCAGAGCCGCTTGCCCAGGGCTTGGCTGCCAGCCCCTTCCCAAAGGAAAAGAGCCACCACTCGGAGGTCGCCCGGTATCCGAGGGGCACCGTTATCGACACTGCGCCCCAGTGCCACGCAGTCCTCGGCACGGTCGCTAACACCTGGACTTGGGAGGTTGGTCCGCGGCGACGACCTTCGTCGCTACCAGTCTGGGTTTTAGCCCCGACGAGCCACTTATAATCGTCACTACCCACACCGATGCACGAGTCACGTACGATCATTCAAGTGTCTGTATGGGCTTTCCCCTATCCGCCACCCGGGGACGCGCCCGATGGGTGCCTAACCACACGGGCCAGGTCACCCTTAGAGGAAGGGATACTCTTTTGGTGGCGCGGTATCTTGGCATTTTAGGTTGATCTGTATGTTGACCAATTTTCCAAAAACATCACCATCAAGGGAACGAACGAATCCTTTGCCCATTTCCGTTTCTGAAGTTTTTCAAAATTTCCAAACAGACACGGGAGATCGGGACAGGAATAAAATGAACGGGGACGGTAGTCAGATTTTAAGCTTTGAGCGGATCGGGAAACTAAGCAAAAGCGGAAATAAGAATAGGGGGATACAAACGAGAGGATATTCAAAAATTCAGAATCGAAAAACAATTAATATTGGAGACCAACACAAAACCGAAACGTGGAGCAATAAGTGAAGTGAAAAGAGAAATGGGGGAGGCTTGACGGAAGGACACGAGATGGAACTCAGGGATGGAAACATGCAGAAAAGGCAACAAGAACTGATATCGGAAATTGGAAAGGGAAATGAACGGAAAACAGGATACGGAAACCAAGTCAGCTTTGCTTCACTCATTTCCTATAAATTATATTTAAGTCTCTGATGTTACAATTTATTGAAATATGCACACAGTTCAATTAATATCCTTCGACATTTTTTAAAGAGGATTTCCGTTACAATAATCAGTGTAACAAGAATAACAGTTGCCAATGTCTCGACCACGGTTTCTCATTTCATCGCAAGCTGAACTTATCAGTTCAGCGTCGCACTTTCTGATATATTTTGTCACCCCGCTCACTACGGAAGAAGTAAATAATAGAAAAAGCAGTTATTAACTTTTCATTTACCAGTTTCTGCAAATGCAAGGCACACCCTCACGTGATTCGAAGGTGGGTTTGTACATGTAACGTTACGAACTCCCGATCCACTTCGGCAATTAGTGTCGCCCTCTGAGCTGTCGCATACGTAACAGTTCAGTGCTGAAATGAAACGTTTAGAAATTTCTGAAAAGGAAGTGTATACTCACATGCATTGACAACATCACAACATGAACTAAAAAGAGAGTAGCCAATAGTGTTTTGATATACATGGTAAAAATATAACTTGCTACCTACTCACTTGACGCACATATTTATACCTACTTACCCCCCCTAAAAGTAGGTAATTAATTTGAATTATCAGATGGCGGGATGGCGCCTCGTTCAGGTGTGGCGAAACAGTATCGTTATCAAAGGAAATTTTCTTGAGTGGTTTGTTTACTGCCGAATTTGATTGAATAACATGTTTTTTGTTCACCAATTTTATTACGTCACTACAGTCATTTGAAAACGTCCCTACTACCTGCTTATTAAAATCACCGCCTTCGTTGAAGAAGTCCATTCAGTGGCTTGTTGCTGAAGCAGAAAAAGTTGGTACCTGCAAAATTCAAATGGAAAATCCTATTATAACGAATATGAAAGGTTGTTGACGTGGATGAATAGGAAAAATCTTTTTCAAAGATAGTCTTAAGTGGATCGTTAATGCTGCCATATACACTGTGTTTTTTTTAAGACGGGCCATACGATAATGTAAAGGCGTTGAGTTATTTAAAATGGGCCATAGGGAAAATTTACATTGCATCAATTCTTTCAGTCATAGCTTCCTCGCGAATCATCTCTGCCACAGTACTGTAGAAATTGTATCTAAATCAATAAATTTATTCAAATGAGATATATAAATGTATAAAATTACAATCTGTGCTCGAATTGTTTTCCACCGGCAATCAAACAATACCCGATACTCGACATTGAATAGCTCGCATACCACTCAGCTACTGTGCCCACTGTGGCGCAATTTAATTTCCCTATGGCCCATTTTAAATAACTCAACGCCTGTACATTGTCGTATGGCCCATCTTAATACTGCGATTAGTAAGTGGAACAGATTTTGCAGCAGACCTACTCTAAACTACGTGGCCGTATGAATAAAAGTAAGCAAATGCTTATACTTGCAAAATTCAAAGTAAATACCTACTCGTAACTGCCCCTTTATACTGGTCTGTTTAGCATGGTTTAGCAGCGCTGTACTGCGTCCTTTCCTTTTGCTTAGAAGGGTTCCTAAGTCGCCCAGTGCGAAGGAGCACTTACGAGTATTTACTTTAAATTTTGCAAGTATAAGCATTTGCTTACTTTTATTCATACGGCCCAATATCCGCAGCTAATTTCTGTGTGGGAAGCATGATTGTATGATATCTCCGAGGATATCTCTAACGTCCGACAGGATTCGAAAGTTTCTTGGAAAGTTTGACCGATTTTCGTGGTTAAGGTGGCGTTTTTGAGGTTCTTCTGGGCGAAGATTACCAAAAAAGACCCACTTTTCCTACAATCGATATCCAAAGTAGGCATTTGCGCTCCTATTTGACAACGCAAACGTCATATTTTTCGAGGAATGTCAATTTGTCGCTTATAAGCGACAAAATAAAAAAAAACCCTCGCTCTCCCAATTATAAACTATAATACAAATATGCATTGCTTAGAGTATCCAATGACAACGAGTAAATGACATCTTTTATGTGGCGCGGCAAATGTCTCTTTCAATCGACGCAATATATCATTTTATTTTTCATTTGCCTATTATATGTCAATTATATCTGTCATATGAGATATATAAAGCAGTCTATGACGCCCGAGGGCATAATGAGAGGGAATAATGAGATGACAATCCATTATGCCCTCTCATTATGCCCTCAAACTGCCTGTCAAATATATTGACGGAGTTATGTAATAAAAAAAGATGCTACTTGATTCGTATGAAGCACTAACAATAATCATTACATTTGTATATTGGAAATGCATTATTTGGAACGATGAAAAATAAAATGTTGTATGCACCTCAGGCATTACTGGATATTTAACCCTCGGACGACTTACAATCCCTCGGGCCAGAGGCCCTCGGTCTCTGTCGCCCTCGGCATAAATATCGCCTTAATGCCCTTGATACATAAATAACTATTGCGCTCTTAATATACAAATAGTTATTTTTTTATGAATTTTGAATAAGTATTTTGAATAAAAAGGTCGGTGTAAACTAAGTGCAAAGATGAAACTTATTCATTGAATTCGGTTTTAACTAAAAATTGTTGATTATTGAAACGTATTTACAAGTAAAAAGTCATAAGTCATCAAATGGGAATGCCTCATCATCGCTCAGATCTCCTGTTGCAGTCGAGAACTCGAGATATAAAAAAATATTTAGTTAAGATCATTAAAAATAAAACTCTGACAGTCATATTTATAAAATAAGCATGTACAATTGTAGTTACATATATACTCGGCTCCGATTTTTGCAGTGTTCTTGACAGTTAGAACACTGTAGGGTGCAGGGAAGGCTGTTTCGCAAGCACGAACACCTTATGGTCTCACAAGTTCACTTGCAGCCGCATTTCCCTAGGATTGTGAGCTCCTTTCATATTTACACCTATTTGGTCCAGTTGGGTTCCCAGCCCACTTTGCCTCGTGTCCATCCCCAAGTTGACGGATGTGGAGGGCATTCAGTAGGATAGAAGCAGTGCCCCCACAACACATGACCTGCTTGATTGGGGACAGGAACTGCAGTAATTTATTTTTAGTACAAAATAAATATTTTCCCACATTAGTAGTGGATTTCTCCTGTGCTTCGGGGTCATAGAGAACGGTAGTAAATTCTTCTAAAGTTTTAATTGTTTTTTTCTGTTATTCCTCTTTGTGAATTGGAGAGTTCAAGTAAAGCTGGTGTCACGTCCGGGCGTTTCATCCAAGTCATAAACGCCTTCTTGTTTCCAATAGAATTGAAGCAGGGCGTTGTGCCACAACCTGTGTAACAATGAAAGCCCCATAGGGCTTGTGAATTTTCTTCTTCTTCTTCTTCTAATGCAATCAAATGGGTCGCTATATATCGACGCTAGGGCCCAACACCTGACAGATATCCTTCTTTCAGTCCGAGTACTTAAAAAAAAACAAAATATATATGACCATCAGAACGTCAGTATCTCAAGAGTGGACGAGGATGTTCTGGGCTCCATGCTCCACCATATGTTTCGCATGGAGGATGATTCGCCCGTCCGCCTCTTCTTGCGTAACTTGTATCCCATCAAAAGGGAAAGCGTTCTCAATCGTAGGAAAATGCGGCTGCAAGTCAACTTGTGAGACCATGAGGTGCTCATGCTTACGAAACAGCCTTCCCTGCACCCTACAGAGTTCTAACTGCCAAGAACACTGCAAAAATAGCAGCCAAGTATATGTACTGCGTACATGCTTATTATAAACATGATTGTCAGCGTTTTATTTTTAATGATTTTAACTAAATATTTTTTATAGCTCGACTGCAACAGGAGATCTGAGCGATGATGAGGCATTTCCCTTTGATGACTGATGACTTTTTACTTGTAAATACGTTTCAATAATCAACAATTTTTAGTTAAAAACAGGATTCAATGAATAATAAAAATCAAAGTGCACGCTGTAGTTGATTTGTCAAATTACAAGGTCTTACATGGTCAATTGATGTGGTGTTAAATTAGACGTTCGAGGTCATCCAAGGTCAGTGACCTCAACTGCGGTATCCAATTGCATTTTCAATGTCACCTAAGGTCAATGGCAATTCTGGTGTCAAAATACCCACATAGCAGACCTATATACACTGCATATACCATGTACATTCCACGTGGGATACTGTATATCCATAGAATGTGGAAAAGTATGTCGCAAATGTCCGATGTATGTGCATGGGATATAAGTTTGGCAGACTTCACATAATACATAGTATATACGGTTTGGATGTCTTGATGTATATACATCAGACATGCTATGTATATTGGTATACTGACAACTGGATATACCATGAATATTCCTGTGATATGCAAAGATGTTCAGTAGGATATTCTATGTATATTGTATACATTCAGAATGGATGTTCTATAGAGATTCCTCTAACATTCGGGAAGTTTACTAGCATCTATACCTACATAAATAAATTCTTTTCACGGAGTGGAGCTTTTTGTTTATTAAGTCTCCTAGTATACAATGGAAAATAATTTGTTTTATTTAACACTGTAGTCTTGAGTCATTTTGATCGTGTTCTTGTTCAACACTATAATAGCGCGAGTTCATAACAAATAGGTTGCTAACATACCTGTCATTCTTGTCCTTATAATAATTCCCATCCAATCTTTACACCTCGCACTAATACATATTTGCAACACATAATCCCATGTATATACATAGCACATCCAAAATGTATATTTATAGAATATCCATACTGGACATAAAATACATATGTCTATAATGAATATACATAGTATATACATAAGATGTACAGGATATTCCCTGTACATTATGGATTTAAAATGTATATACTTTAGATATCGAATGCTATGTGGGTATAATCTCAAGAACATCCAAGGTCAATGACGTCATTGTTATGTAGTGTCCAATTCCATTTTCTCGGTTATTCAAGAACAATGAACCCATTTCTGTGGTGTCAGGTTATATTTTCAATGTCGAAGGGCGTAGTGTCTAATTACATTCTGGAGGTAATCCAAGGGCAATGACCTAATTTTTTGTTTTGCACCACTCGACCTCACAAGGGCATTGCTGGACTGCCGAATTTGGAGATTTCATTCCGACTATTTGGATAAGTATAAGTAACCGCCATTATTTAAATGAGTTGCAGTGAATCCGCTCGATTGAGTTGGGCCTTGTCTCAAAAGAAGCGCTCAAAATAACATTCTTACCTGGCACGCCTCTTGCGCCCTCCTTGTTCCCTGCGTCTCCACTCTCAGATATCGTCACGCCGGTAAAGCGTCGCGCGGGTAGCGTCTCGAAATTCGCCGACTTTTCCGCTTCGTCATGATTTTAGGCAGCTCCTCGCGCGTCGCGTTGCAAAATTGCAGAACGATCCGCTCGGACACCTCCCAATTCCGCGGGAACATGCCGCCGAGCCGATCCTCGAACTCGATCAGATGCCGTTTGAGCCACGCGTACCGCTTGTCGATCTTGTCGAGCCACGCGGTGTCCTCAGTTTCGTTAAGGAGATGCATGTACTCCTGCAATTGAAGATTGATGAACCACTTGAGCAGGTCGGGTTTCACTTTCGGCTCGAGCGCCGAGACCACAAGACAAGCGGACGCCAGCTGCTTATTGTGTATGA